GCCTCAAACGGCCCCTTGGTCCCCTAACTCCCCAGAGGAAGCGGCAGGAGGTGGCGCAGGCTGAGGAGGAGGTGCGGCAGGGCAGGGCGGCTTTGGAGCGGGACGAAAGGGCGCTGCACATGGTGGGTCGCCGGGGGCGCGTCCTGCTTGGGAGTGGGGGAGCACTGCGCAGTCCTTGCGGCAGGCCCGTTGCTATCGGCGCTGTGCCAGGGCAGACTGGCGGCCAGGGCCACCAGCACTCCTGCGCCGCGCGCCAGCCTCGGTGCAACTCGCTTGCACTGTTGGCGACACCCACAGCGCGCTGTGAATGCATGAGTGCATCTTGCGTGCGCATACGCCCAACACCACATGTTCCCCGCAGGCGCGTGAGAGGGCTGAGGCGGAGCTGCGTGCCAGGGTGGAGCAGCTGCGCAGGGACGAGGAGGACTGCCACGCTAGGCTGGCGGCTGCGGACGTGACCGCCACCGCCTTCTCCAGGGTCATCATCTGGGCGGAGGTGGAAGACTCGAAGGCGGCGATGAAGCAGGTGAGGGGGGTGAGGGGCTGCTGCATGTATGTAGACAAGGATTTGGTGCCGAACCGCGGGCTGTAGCCTAGGAGCCCGCCCTGTGCGTGCTGCCCTTGCTTGTTGCTTTCCACCAGCTAACCTCTACCCAGGTGTGCTCTAACGACGCCTCACAACGGGCCCTGGCGCTGTAACGTTTCCCAATAGGCCGAGGCGCGGCGTGTCGACGCCGAGAGGCGGGAGCGTGAGGCCATCGTGGCGGCCATGGTGGTGGGCGCGTTTACCGCCGTGAAGCAGCAGGCCGCGGCTTGCGAGGGGCGACCGTGCGACTGTGCTGGCGGTGGGCTTGTGGTGCCGGCCAGCGATCCTCGCTGGTTCCAGCCGCAGTGTCTGAACCCAGCATGCTCCTGGGCCAGTCCCATGCTAAACACGAGCCCCCTATTTGCTGGTGGCAGGGGGTTGCTGCCGAGCTGGAGTCTCTGAAAAAGGAGAAGGCCGCCCACGGCGCCGTCACTGTCGCTGCCGGGGCGGCCGACGTCAGGTGCTGCTTCATCATGGTGCGCGGAAGGGGCTTGGGTGGATGGGCCGGCCCTTAGAAGCAGAGGGACCAAGCAGGGCGCCCATTTGGCGGGGCTGTGCAGATTCGGCGCCAGGGAGGTGGCCGCTCCATGATACAGTGCAGAGCATGCCCGACCGTGTTGTGACTCGTGTGCAAGCTTTGCTGCTGGTTACCCGGGCCCCAGCCGCGCGTTGCAACATGTTTCTCCCATCCACGGGGCCCCTCCCTTGCTGCGCGCTGCGCCTCCTCTGATCGCTTTTGACTCCAGGAGCCGTCCGAGACGGCAGCGCCGCCGCGCCAGGAGCTGGCGTGCTTGGACGCCGTGCGGCCGCAAGAGGAGGAGGATGTGCCAGCGGGACATGCGGAGGGCAACGTGCTGGGCGGGGAGCGGCCACTGCAGGTGAGGGGTTGCGTTGCATTGCCGGGGGTAAAGGTTGATGGGCATGGCTGTTTCAGATCCCTAAAAGGCGCTCAAGAGCGTGTGCACTAGATTGCAGCTGTGACCTGCGGGCGTCTTCACTGCTTGTGCCTGCTGCCTGCAAAGGGCTGGTGAAGCCTGCAGCCTCCTTCCCTGTTGGCGGGCCTTGCCTCAGCACCTCCTCCGTACTGGCTCGCTCGCCCCTCTCGTCACCCACAGGCCCTCACGACGAGCGCCAAGATCGAGGCGGGGGAGGCGCCCCATGGCCGTCCAGGCCAGGAGCCGCAGCCAACCCCTGCCTGTGGGGCCACAAATCAGGGCCAAGACCAGGTGAGGGGCTGCCAGGGCAGGGTGTTGGCTGGGCTGGCTGAGGGCGACGAGAAGGGGCGGGCGCGTGACGCGGAATTTTGAATGCTCAGCTGCCATATGGGTGTTATCAAACCGGCCAGCTTTCAACAGTTGAGCAGCAACAATCCTCTAATATTCTCGCGGCCTCATGCACACGTCCATGAGCATCGCCCTCACGCTCACCGACGCAGGAGGCCGAGGCGCCCGCGGCATCAGTCATGACTGAGGCCGACGCCAGCGCCGGCTTCAGCGCCGACGCCGGCACGCCCCAGGACTCTGGGGAGCCCACCCCGCGCACCAGCAGCACTGGCGCGGCGCTGCAGGCCGAGAGTATGGGCGAGGGCGAGGGGGAGAAGGACGCGCCCTCACCACAGACTGCCCGGGCAAACGTCAGTGGCAGCCCGCGAGGCGCGGGCGAAGACGACGAGGCCTGGCAGGGTCCGGACGGGGAGGAGCCGGCGGCAGACAGCGTGCCCCTGGTCCGAGGCCGCCACGCCCGCGGGGGCAAGCGGCACAGGAGTATCCTTCGGCACACGGCCAGGGAGGAGGAGGAGCGCGAGCAGCAGTTTCTGTTCGAGCAACACCTGCAAGAGCAGCAGCTGCAGCAGGCGGAGGCGCAGCAGCGGAGGGCGCAGCAGCAGCGGTGGGCGCAGCAGCAGCGGTGGGCACAGCAGCAGCGGTGG